GAGCCAGTCAGGGTACAATGTAGCAACAAGGAAACACAACTTTCCTCTAGTTCTTTAATACTTACTTCCCTACCACTATCATGATCCCAATTCTACCTTACAAATCTGGCTAGACCAGAGGATGTACACTGGTACAGACAGGAACTGGAAACACAGGGAATTCAGGACAGATGAACTCCTCAGGCCCAGTAGTGAGAGTAGCAATACCGAGAGGGTGGAGGGAAGGTGGGGTAGAAAGGGGGAACAGATCACAAGGATCTCCCTGGGGGTTAGACTACAGAAAAGTGGGTGAAGGGAGACATCAGTCAGTGTAAGACATGAAAAAATAATAATTTATAAATTATCTAGGGTTTATGAGGGAGGGGAGAGAGGGAGGACAAAAAATAAGGAGCTGATACCAAGGGCTCAAGTAGAAAGAAAATGTTTTGAGAATAAGGGCAACAAATGTACCAATGTGCTTGGCACAATGGATGTATGTATGGATTGTGATAAGACTTGTACGAGCCCCCAATAAAATGATTATTAAAAATAAAATTAAAATTATCTGCAGCAAAAAAAAAGAAAAATTCAATCAAACCAATAACGAAGCTCACCGATACTGTTATGTCTTCTGTTTTTCTCTTAGCACTGGAGTCAAACAAGACATTTCTTCCTCTCCTTTCACAGTCTTGATATACAATCAGTCGAATCTGGCTTGGATCAAATTCTGGCAAAGGCCAACTTGAAAGAAAAACAAAAATCCATTATAATTACTGTACTCAATATTCCACATAAAGCCTTTAAAACAAACCTATGGAGTGTTGGTATAAATCGATAGAGATGTTTACATGAAATAATCACCATTTAACTCCAGAGCTAAAAACTCATACCAGCTATGACAGTTTAGATTAAAAAGGGAAAAAATAAAAAATGGTGACAAGCATCACATGGTGTATATAAAACATAACTATCTAAGGCTGTTTGAGATGCTCCTGCCTTTGGTCAGAGAGCATCTGCCTGTGGCTGAGTCTGACTTTATAGACTACAAACTGGATTTGTACTGGGTGCAAGTATCTCTTCATTATTCTGTGACAGAAATTGCTTCCCTGGCTTTTTGAATGTCGATGGGGGTTCTTCTGCCTCATTATTTATATTTTTGTCTTTATACTAATATGATCTTATCCTTACCACCTTAGTGAGATTTGATTTTTAGTGCTTTGTGTTGGGTGTCTCGGCTGTGAAGCACAGGAGGAGTAGATGCATGGTGACAGTAACTGATACAAGGGGTTATAGGGAATCAGGGCAAAAAAGGGTGGAAAAGAGATATTGGGAGTAAATAGTGAAGGTGGGGGGGCACAGAGAAGAGAGCACTAGGACTGACTGTGATTATATAACTCATTTTAAAGGCGACTTAATCATGGGAGGGGGTGATGCTCAAAGATTGATGTGGTGGTGATTGTACAATTCCCCTAGATATGATTGAATAATTGAACTATTCAATGGTATGATGTGTAAATTATGTGCCAATGAAACTGTTGAAAAAAATAGATAACTCATAACCTAAGTGTAACAATGGATAAAGAGACTCAGGACTTCAAAACAAACTAGCAATAAAAATAAACAAGAATAACCTAATGTCGGGGGTTTAAGTGGAGAGAAAATGTTTTGAGAATGATGTACAAATGCGCTTTACACAATTGATGTATGGATTGCAATAACAGTTGTACGATCCCCTAATAAAATGTTTTTAAAAAAATAAATAAATAAATGAAAATAAACAAGAATAATGACATAGCTGTGATGCCCATCACCCAGAAACAAATGATACTAAGCCATTCTAAATTGACTAAAATCTGAAGTGGCCAAATTAGTACATGAAGTCATTATAAGGAGCAACGCGTAAGCAAAATCATACAGAAGGTTAAGTGTGTCATTTGAGAAAGGGGCAACCGGCACAGCAACACCATCAGGAATTTTCAGCCCAAATGACTCTCGGCAGAAATTTGCCATTTCTAAAAACTTACCAATTTTTAATCAGGAGAAACATAGTAATTAATAACTTAAATTCTGGGCTTCACCCAGTCAAACCAAAAAAGTCTGTGAACTCTTACCATGTGTGACCCTAATCAAGTATCTCTATATTAATTTGAATCTATGGTGAACACTGAAAATATGCAAAAAAGATAAAGACTCATACAATGAACAGCCCCACATCCCTGACCCTAATTAGGAAAGAAAACCTTGCCACTAGTTAAGTGCCCTGCACACATACTTCAGGGAGTGGTAGCTACTGCTCCACAGGTGTTATCTAAAACAGCCATGCATCTCTGCATACTTATACTACATACATATGGAACCTTATATTCATATTGTGCGTGTTTGTTTTGTTTTGTTTTCCCACAACTGCTACATGTATAATTCAGTACCATTGATTATATACTCTTCGTGTTGTACAACCGTTATTGATATCCTTTTCCATATGATTCCACTTAACATAAACTCAATGTCCCCTAGGCAACAACTTTCTCCTTTACCCATGGCAACTATTGTTCAGGTTTTCTTTTCTTTAAATCATTTTCTTGACATTCACATATCATACACGTCCATGGTTGGGTCACTTTTAAAAAGAGTTGTATATACATAATCACATTAAGTTCTCCCTGCCCCCGTCCTGCATTTATTGTTTGCTCCCCAAACTTATCACCCTCTCCACCCTCACCCCTCTCCACATCCCCGGTAAACCATTGCATCAGTTATTGTCTCTGTGTATCCACTCCTGTGCTTCATAAACTGGGAGACCAGACGGGAACAATAAAAAACAAAACAACAAAAGAAGAAAATAATAAAGATAAAAATATAAATACATTGTAAGAAACAAGGGACCACCATCGATATTTTGAAGGCCGGAGAAGAGATTTGTGTCATGGAACAAGCAAGAAAGACTTAAGCCTAGAGCAAACTCAGGTTGGGTCAAGAGGGAGGTCACCTGAACAAGTATCATATTATACCATGGTTCCATCCACCATAATCAAGCTTACAATAATCTCTGATAGTAAAGCTGTTTGTAACCCTTGCCTGTGGCTAGCGGGGGATCTGCCAGAGACTTAATCTAACTAGATACTCTGCAGATGGATTTGGGGCTCCCACTGTCCTCCATAGCCTTTGACAAATTAGGTGTTCATAATTAATTAAAGCTCTGATATTTTTCCCTTCATCATATTTGGAGTTTGTTATTGTCATCTTTGGATCACATTGTGCATGTTTTTTTAATAACATTATACTGTATGTCTTCTATACCATGGTAAGCTGCCTATATTGATATGTATGGCTCTCATTATGTTCATGCCTGGGTTCCGATGAATTAATTGACCACTAATTATTTATCTATTCTCTAGATCATAGGTACTAATGTGTTTTCCTAGTTTTTGCTACTAAATACATTGCTGCTATCACATTTCTGTACATGCCCTGCTACTTACATATATATATACTTCTTCTTGAGTAAATAAATAAATAAATAAATAAATAAATAAAATAAAACATAACTATCGCATATCAATTAAAAGCATGGCTTCAAACCAGTTAGACACAGTTCAGTCATAGCTGGTGCAGCAAAATTAGAATGGACCTAAACTTGTAAACTATGGGTGTAGCTGAATGACAAGGAGAGTGGGGAAATTACAGGTGGAAGCCCTGGAATAAAAGACTGAAGAGTGGTGAGCCCTATTAGGAGCCTGGTGCCGGAGATCCAATCACTGTCAGGACTGTGAAGAAGGACACACATCCAAAGGAATATGGTTGTCTCCATCGTTCAGCAGATCTGGTTGTCATGCAATGTGCATGTTGCCCTTTTCAGGAGGGAGATTAAGTTTCTAGCAGAGAATGAGCCCATTAATTTTTCCTGTCCTAGTTATTGGCACACTGACTCACGTTTTACAAATTCAGTTTGGTTCAATTTCATATTATCAGTATGACCGAACAACAACAAAAAACCAAACTCCTGTTTGAAAATAGCAAACTTAATAAATATACATAAACACATTAACATAATGAAAACATACTCATTTCATGGCATGAGCCTAGATAATGTAATAAGGATAACCCTTTTTTTTTTTAATTTTTGGGTGCCTTCTGTTTTAATAAACTATCTTTGCTATTCCTTCTTTAATATGGAAAGGTGAAAACTATTTTTCGTTTCTGTAATAGCACCTATGTAATTACAAGTACATAAAAGTACAGCCAGAAAGCTCCTTAGAAGCAAATATGTCAAGGTGCTCTGTCTCATGTACTTTGGCCATTTGATCAGGAGAAAGCAGTCCCTGAGAACGGATATCAGTGCTTCCTTTTGTTGTACATTGGGATGGTCTGCATAAGTCAGAACCGACTTAAAGGGTGGCACCTAATAACAACATGTACTTATAAAAGAGTAAACAGTAAAGAACGTAATGAATAATTAAGTGCTGGTGAGACCACTCACATTTTGTTAATGAAAGTGTAAGTTGGTCCATCTCTTTAGAAAAGAAGTTTGTTTGCTTTTTATACCATATATACTCGAGTGTAAACTGACCGAATATCAGCCGAGGCACCTAATTTTACCACAAAAACTGCATTAAAAATGTGTTGAAAAACTCGGCTTATACACGAGTATATGCGGTACATTCCAAATAAGCAATAAACAGTCTAGAAATATTGAAGTTACTCCAGCAACTCTATTCAGTTAAGCTTACCACTTTGTTCATAATAGCACTATTTATTATAGTAAAAAGCAAATTAATTTCAAATGTTGATCATCAGGATGGGTAAGAAATATTATGGCATAAAAATATTATGAAATACTTAACAAAGACAATAAATAAACATATGCAAAAGCAGGGGTTGAATGAGCAAAAGAAATATCACATATACATAACTACTTATTTTTCCACTTATAAAGGTTTAACACAGACCTAATTTTATCTAGGGATGCATACTTACTCTTTAAAAGGAAAACTGAAAATAAATATAAACAGATCAATTAAAAATGGGCAAAGTACTTTAATAAGACTTTTCCTCCAAAGACACGTAAATGGCTAAAAGAAAAAAAAAACATACACACACAAAGCAAAATCCATTGTCCCTAAGCCAACCCATTAATTACATTAAAAATTGCTCCACAGGGCTTTCTTGCCTGCAATTTTTTTCACCAACAATTTTATTTGCACATAATTTACGTATCATAGAAATGAATAGTTCAACCGTTCAAACATATCAAGGGGGAATTGTACAATCACCACCACATCCATCCTAAAGCATTCCCTCCCCGCAAGGTTGATTCACCCCCAATATGAGCTGCAATCACCATCAGCTCCTTATTTACTCCCAAACTCTCCTTTCCATCTGTATCACCCATTTCCCTCCCCTACATTCCCTGTAACACCTTGTATCAGTTATTATCATTGTACATACACTCCTCCTACTCTTCACAGCTGGTAAACCTCACAGAAAACAATGAAAAACAAATCACACTAAGGTGGTAAGGATAAGATGATCACATTAGTACAAAGACAAAAATACAAATAATACATGAGAGGGCGAAGACCCCCATCAACATTCAAGAAGTCAAGGAAGAAGCTTATGTCATGGAACAACTAAGAAATACTTTGCCCCAGAACAAATTCAGGACATGTCTATGGTGGTGGGGGGGGGGGGGTTGTCAACTAGGCAAGTATCAAATTCTGTCCAACATAGTCAAGGTTACAATG